GAAGATGCTTTTCTTCTAACTGGCCAGTTCAGTGCCAGGCGTAACTCCCTGGGCAAAGCTCAAGAGGCAAAGGATTCAAATCCCAGATTTGGTGAAAGATCCAAAGGGCGTCAAGACACGGACACTGACAGAAATGCCAGAGTTTCCTGGGAGCGCCATCACCGGCAAACCAAGGGCGCCATTTTTTGGGGTGAACAGGAGGTACCGGAAGCTGATGCTACACTTAGGGTCCTACATGGGATCGTTCTCGGTGTGGTTCATGGATGGGCTCACTTTCAAGTCTTTGCTCAGAACCTTCTGCCAAATGACCGTGCTGAGAAATGTTAGTGTGGATGGTCTCCTCAGGCTGAGACTCCTTTGTCCCTCTGAAACCTTGCTTCACCCAGAGACAGCCTGACCCACTGCCAGTTACACCAAGTTCCCAATCCACCTACACGCTGTGTTCCAGAAACCCATCTAAATGTACGTGAAGATCTATTTCCCCATAAAACGATGTTATAAATGGTGATCGGGTTTTATCAATACCCTTCTATTTCATGGTGTGGCTGGACCACAGGACACAGAACCAGTCCACCATTTAGAACATGATTTCAACATTAAAAAAAAAAAAAATGTTTTCCCCAGAAAGCTCCAGAAGTTAAAAAAAAAAAAAAGTGCTCTCTATAACCCAGTTTCTGCAATGGACCATATTGAGGATGATGATAAAACACTTGTATGAAAGTCTGCTTTCAGGAAATTTCTAATGACAACCTAATTTCCTCTTTAAAACAATACCATTAAGGGGCGCCTGAGCGGCTCAGTGGGTTAAGCCTCTGCCTTTGGCTCAGGTCATGGTCTCAGGGTTCTGGGATCGAGCCCTGCATTGGGCTCTCTCCTTAGCAGGGAGCCTGCTTCCTCCTCTCTCTCTGCCTGCCTCTGTCTACTTGTGATCTCTCTCTCTCTCTGTCAAATAAATAAAGTCTTTAAAAAAAAACCCCACAACACCATTAAGTAAATACTATTATTATTCCTATTTACAGTGAAGGACATGCCCCGGGAAGCCACGTGGTTGATATGCAGCAGAACCAGGATCCGATGCTGGATACAGTCCGTGGGCTGAACCAGGGGTTAAACCATGGCTCATGGGCCAAATCTGGTCCGTCACCTGTTTTTACAATAATGTTTTATTAGCACACAACTGTGTCCCTTTGCTTACACCTTGTCTGTGGCTGCTTTGGTGGCACAAAGGTATAGCTGAGTGGTTGTGACAGGAACCTAGAGGCCTGCAAAGCCTAAACTATTTATCATGTGACACTTTACAGAAAGTGTGCTGGGCAAGGGCTAACCAACCATTCTCTGGGCCACGTGTCTCTCTAGCGCTGGCCATGAGCCTCATCGCAGGGGATGGGGGCCCAGAAGCGGGAGGAAGGAACAGGAATCCAGAATCTTCTCAACTGTGAGGGGACGTCCTGGGGAAATCACTGACCAGCACAGGGGGTTATAAAAATCTTATTTCTCAAGAAGCTTCCTGCCTCATTCCCAAAAAGATCTGAAGCAGGGTCCAAAGGTACAGACAGGAGCTCCATGGACAGGAGGAAGCTGTTTGCTTTATTGATTGCCGGAGCCTTAGTATTGGACAAATGAACAAATACATAAGCTATGTTTGTGAATCAGGAACTATGTGTGCTTTACTTGAAGATGAATGGGGAACGGGCGCACTGTCCACAAACACTGCACTCAAGGTTCTGATTTGTTTTGTCTTTTAGGCAGATAAACAGCTCAAGGGGGACAATGCATTAGGGAGTCAGGTCATTTTCAACCATCTTGGGATTTCTTTGCCTCCTAAGAGCTTTACTCACTGATCATTCTGTTTGCCGGGCTCTAGAATCAAATGATACATTTGAAATTTTTTTCCCCATGTTACCAAGGCAAATGCTAACGTGGAGGCATAGCTGTCAATGCTCATTTGTTTGGATTTTTCTTCCGTCAGATTGAGTGACTTTCGATTTCTGGAAGAAGATTCGAAAACCACAACCTAGCTATTAAGTCTTTCTAGAAACCAGGGCTGGACACAGAGAGAATAATCCTATAGACTCTAGCTGGCGTACAACACCCTGAGTAATGCCAGTTCCTAAAAGGACTAGTCATCATGCTGTATTTCATCCAGACATGAGTCACCATGGAACTTTAAATTAAAAATTTCAGCTGAATCATACTGTTACCAGAGGGTGGGAAAGTCCTTCTGGAAGAGCGGGTGGGGGAGAAAAGGACTGGGATGATGGAAGGTAAGTCAGGATGGCAAGTATATGGAGAGATGTGGACAGAGAGGCGAGTCTGCAGACACTGGGAAGCAGTCATACTGTGGCCGGGGACGGAGAGGGAGGAAATGGGGCGGGTGTTGGAGAAACGTCTCCAAATTGCACCCTGGTGCTAGGCGGCACCCTGTTTGGGAAGGCTGGCTATGACCCAGAACTGCTCAAAAGTGGACACAGCCTTTGTGCCCAGGCACGCTGCTTCCCGACACTTGGACGCTGGGGAAAAATGACAAGTTTCACATTTACAGACCTCAACAGAACACTGCTCCGTGGTTAAGTCCTGCCTGAAATCAGATCTGAATGTTCCCTTTCAAATACAACACAACAGCTGTGGGAAAATTCTCAGCATCTCCTTGACCCCACTATCAAGGGGCTTTCGGCCTGGTCTCCTGCAATGCTAAGGAAATGAACCAATGCAATTCCAGTAAAATCGAAGGATGTGCACAAGGTTTAAAGCAAAAGCCAGGATGTAGTTCAGGCAGGTGCTCTGAGCACAGAAACTGGAAGCTGGACAGCAGAGGCTCATGGCTCTTGCTGCACTTGCCGTTGGGCTGGTAGAACTCCATCCAAAGTACATGGCCAGGAGGGAGCACCACACACGAGGCCTCTAACGAGCCTCTAGAGAAATGCAATTCTGGCCTCAAGCCCTCTGACCTAGCCCCCTATGCACCGCCCCTTCCCCCCTGCCTTTTTTTTTTTTTTTTTTTAATTTGGAGCTCTGACCTTTACAAAAGCTAGACTCACTGCCCAGAAAAACAGGAAGGTTACTCACCAGGAAGCCATGGAAATGAGGCACAAAAAGTGGGTCAATATTTCTCCATCAGCAAAGCAAAGTCTCAGACATTTCCAGGGGTGGCCTCCATTGTGATGCCCCAGTGCAGACCCTCCCTCAACTGGGTTCTATACCAGTAGTTCCCGACCTGCTGGTTTTTGCTAATGACCTACAACTATGGCAGGAAATTCAGCGAGACTCTGTTTAGCTTCTAGGCAATCTCTCCTGCCTGGGACATGGGAATAATGCTGGAACTTGGGGTCCCAAAATGCTCTGGAAAGGGTCATCCTTCACAGAAGTGGTGTGACGTCAGGGGTGGGGCTCCTGTCCTGAGCTTTGAGGGGGAGGTGGGCATAGACAAGGGAGGAAGTGAAGGAAAAAATAAGGAGAGAAACAGCCTTGCTGGATGTTGGATGTCGACACTGGAAGGTACCCCAGGCCTTTACACATCTTTGCACTTGAATGCCCTAAATACTACCAGGCCCCTTTGGAAAGAACTTCACTTTATACATAAATGCATTTATTTTCTCTTGGTTTTTTTTTTTTAGGAACAGAGATTGCCAGATGATTTCTACTGGCAATTGACCTGTGTCTACAGCAATAGAGTGTTTGTCCTATACCAAGCTCTGAGTTTTAATTAGCTGCCAATATTAAAGGGAGTTGGAAGATGTCAGATTAAAAAAAAATTGGCTTTTGGCTTCTCTCGAAGAACCAGGAGATCTGGCGGCACAGGACCCTCCTCTGGGCATGGCAATAACCAACTGGCACCAAGGAGCAGTGGTGGCCCCCGGTCCCCACCCCGCTGTCACCGTCCTGAGGCCTGCTGCTCACTGCCATTTAGTTACATTATCTGTGACTCATTTATGCTCCCCGGGGCACCCAGGCTCACAGCCCTGACCTTAAGCATTTGCCATCAACATCCACTTCCACCAAGTATCAGCCTGCCAAAAGGCACTTTGAACGTTTTTATGCTTTACAGCCTTAAGAATTCATTCCACCTTGATATGATCTGTATGTTTCTTTGGGACAAACCTTCATTTCGGAGAGAGAAACAACAGAGAGAGGAAAAACCACAGGAATCTCATTAGTGTCGACATTTCAGCCGCAGTTCAGTATCTCTGTGCACGTGCGTGTGTGTGCACGTGCGTGTGTGTGTACACCTGTTTCTTTAGGGGATGGGAATTCCTGCGAATCCTAATTCGCCCAAGGAAGAGAAAGATTCCAAAAAGACTAACCGGTACACAGACTGTGATGGCTACCATATCAATCCCTCGAGCAGCCAAAATGCAGGTGATTAGAGAAACAGAAAAAAATGAAAAACGGTGACCTGGACCATAAGGCAAATGCTCGGAGAAAAGAGTCTGGTGAGCAGAGACAAGCATGGACAGAGTGAAGACAACGAGGGAGGTAGGGAGGGCAGAGGCGGAGGGAGAAAGAAGACAGAGGAATCTGGGATGGAAGGCAAACACCGACACTCGATGGGAAGGAGAGAGAGAGCTGGCCTTTTCTCCAGATCTGGAGCAGAAATGAAGATGCCAGCCCGAGAGCTTAATTACACCCAAACCACCTCCCGAGTTAATGCTAAAATGTCCTCCTGCCATTTGGAGAAGCGCAGCTCTTCTTTCTAATGAGAATACCGCACTTGGAACGTGGCCTGTCTCCCCGCTGACGTGCCAGCCAATTTCTTATGCAGAAACCAACCAGGCTTATTTCTGGGATGGCTCTAGTCCCTGTTCGCACCACGATCATAGGCCTAGCATGTTAACACAGCTTGCAAAGGTAGGGAATTGTGCAGCACTTCTGTTTTTAAATAAAGGGGAAGGGGAACACTTAGATTCTGTCCTCCGGCACATGTGACCACAAGACTCAGGCCCAGCCCGAGACCAAGCTTCCCAAAGGAAAGGCGGTTCCAGAAATTTCGCTGACGTTCTCACCTCGAACTTCTGCCTGAGCTCCACGTTGCCTTCTTCATCCCCTTCTGGAATGGGCACATTGTAGTACTCACCTTCCTCCTGGTTAAGCAGCTTGTACCTTTGGGGGACACGGAGGGGGAGGGGAGTTAGGAATGCTGGGATTGTACCACAGATACAGCAACTCACTCCTGCAACCTCTGGACGGGCTGTTTCTGAAATGGGTCCAGTGGGGACACTATAGCCAGATAACCTCACAGTCAATGGTCATTTTGGATGGACGCCGGCTTGTCTGCTGAATTGCCAAGGGCGCTAACGTTTTCGAGACTATTAACCTCTGGTTGACACGTACATATTCAACCTTGGGCAGCCTTACCATCCGCTGGCCGGCATCTTCATCAGCTCCGAGACGCCAAAGGAAAGGGAGCCCATGAAATCATTCCTTGTTGTTCGATCCCAGTCCCAGATTTCTACAGACAGTCGCCGGTCTTTATCCGAAGGTTTTAATTTGCTACAAAAGAGAGACAGCGTGTGGGCGCACACACACAGACGACACACACACACACACACGGTTATGTAGACCATGGTTTCCTGGGAGCCAAACCCCAAGGTCATGATAGCAGTCCGAGATTAAAAAAACCAATAGTATATTCAATTCACTTCCTGGGGCTCCCCACTGCCAACAGAGTACCAGCCCCCAGGAGCCAAAGCTCTAGACTAGCGGTTGGCAAACCAACACCCACAGGCCAAATCTGGCCCGCCGCTTGTTTTTATAAATAAAGTTTCACGGGAACACAGCCATGGGATTTTGTTTACATATGGTCTATGACTGCTTTGATTCCAGAATGGCAGAGTTGTGTGGCTGCAACACAGACAGTATGACCCAGAAAGTCCAAAGTATTTACTAACCGGCCCTCTTCTAAACTTGCCAATATCTGTTCTCTACAAAAGAACTATCTTTCTGGTCACCCAGAGAAACCACTTCCCGTGTTCTTGTCTGCAAGGAGGACCACTGGCTTGTGCTCAGCCATAGGTAGTGCCTTCTTACTCCCGGGGATTTTCTGCCACTCCCACCCCTCCCATGGCCTCCTTCCTGCTATCTTTTCTACCCTCTCTACCTCTGAAATCCTGGCACTCCTTTAAACCCCATTTTAAATGTCACCTCCTCCAGGAAGTCCTCTCTGTTTAAAGGTGAGGATGATCTTCCCATTTTGGGGGCAACAGCATGTGACTCCTGTATTCCTTGTTTTACAAATTATTATTCACATTTTTACCTTCCTTCTCCTATAATGCTCAAAAGAACTCAAGTCCACCAAGAAGTGGGACATCCTTTATACATTTTGACATCATCTTCAACATAAATGCCATTTTTTGTACACAGTAGGTATTGGTAATAATTTGGGGCCTGCACTGGATACTTGGTTACCATCCACCAAAACAGGTGACAATAGCAACATCTTAGCAGTGGTCTGAGGAAGTCTGAGGAATGAAGTGATGTTTAAAGACATTTACAACAGGCCTGCCTCATTATCTCTCATGGGGAGGTGGGCAGGTTTGTGATGTGTGGGGAGGGAATTCGACCGGGAAGAGAAGACAAAACTTACAATGTAAAAGACTCATTCCACTGGGGGTTTAATGTGGAGCGTATAGTTTTGGTTTTCTGTTTGCTTTCATTCTTGGGATCAGGAATAAGTTTCAGCTTCACATAAGGATCTGAAAGCCCATTTGGATCCATAGGAATTAGATTTTTTGCATCGCGTACTGTGAAGAGAAAAGGAAAGAAGATCAAATGTTATAAAAAGAGAACTGACCTGGGTTGCCCAGTGGCCTGTGTCAAGACCAAGCTGGACGACAGAGACATCAAGATGATGTTTAAAGGGAGAGGAGGTGAGGACCCAAAGCCTCTGATCTTCGATATGAGAAAAGCTGCCTGCTGTCATTGCTGCCCAGATAACGGGCACCACGTGGGCCCTGTGGTCAAGCCTTGAGACATAGCGTCGGCCTGGACACCTCAGATTAGAAATGCCAAAGCCTGGGTCCCTCCCCAAAGCTGCCACAACAGAATCTGGAAATAGGAACCCCGGGTGCTGCTTGCAGCCCTTCTCCAGAACTGGTTGTGTGCCCCCCACCCCACCTGCCCTCCCAGCAACCAGCCAGCCTAGTCCAAGGCACTGCATCCCTGGGGCTTCTGAAAGGATCCATCTCTTTTCTTTGAAAGGGCCAGTGACTTCCACTCTGGCTGTACATTGGAGTCTCTCAGGAGGGGGTTTAAAAATCCCAGTGCTGGGATGCCTGGGTGGCTCAGTTGGTTAAGTGTCCGCCTTCGGCTCAGGTCGTGGTCCCAGGGTCCTGGGATTGAGTCCCGCATTGGGCTCCTCACTCAGTGGGGAGCCTGCTTCTCCCTCCCCCTGCTTGTGTGCACGCTCTCTCTCTCTCTCAGACAAATAAATAAATAAAATCTTAAAAAAAAAATCCTAGTGCTCATGGGGCAGCTGGGTGGTACAGTCTGTTAAGTGTCCGACTCTTGGTTTTGCCTCAGGTCATGAACTCAAGGTCGTGAGATGGAACTCTGCGTGGGGCTCTGCTCTCGGCGGGGAGCCTGCTTGTGACTCTCTCTCCCTCTGCCCCTCCCCCTGCTCTCCCTCTCTCAAATGAATCAATAAATCTAAAAAAAAAATGTACAGGACCCACAACTGAATGAGAACCTCTGAGGGGCGTGGCTCACGTCCTTAAAAGCTCCCCAGGCAACCCCATGTGCCGCAGGAGCAAGAGCCATCAGCAGGTACAGCTGTAATACAGAATATATCCCACCGCTGTGCTCGACCCTGTTCTACAACGTGCACACGTGTCCCCAGACCAGCGGCACCTGGAACATCAGCTCTGCACTCATCAACATGGGGAATCACAGGCCCCACCCCAAAATTACAAACTCGGAATTCTCACTTTAACCAGACCCCCAGATGATTCCAACGCACACCCTAGACCGAGACGCACTCAGATAGGAATCCAAAATGAGGAGGAGGAAGGGCCGCTTCAACGCTCAGAGATGCAGCCAACAGGGGCTTGTTGCCTCTGTGGAAGAGGGTGACACCACTGCATGGAAATGAGATAGGTCATTATCTACCACCAGGATAAGAAGGGACAAAAGCCTGAGCCTGCCTACCCCAAATGTCTTCCTCACCATCTTCCGATGGCATCTTCCCCAACATGGCTGATGCTTCCCAACATCCGGGTCCCTAATTAGCCAGACACCATGAGTACACATCTAACGGTTCTCCCAGTATAGCCCCTGGACCAGCAGCATCGGCACCACACTGACTGAGTCCGAACTCTAAGGGCGGCTGCCATGGTCTGTGTTACCAAGCCTGACTCTGATGCATGGGGGAGTTGGGGAAACACTCCTCAAGCCTATCAGTAGAGATAATCAGTTTAGAGTGATTGTGAAATGACGTCCTTAGGAGGTGCTGCGGTTGGCAGTGGCCAGAGACAGAGGAGGGGATGGAAGGATGTGAAAGATACTGGGTCCCTGGACATTGTCCTAAGAGAAGTCAACAGACCAGCATTACCCGTTACATCCTGGGGACACATGGAGTCTCCACACCTGCTGGCGAATGGCCTTACACCCTCCTTGTCTGGAAGCCTTAGTGCAGGCGGGTGACAGAACCGTATCCAAATGTCTGAGTGGGGACTGGGCTGGCTTACATCAACTAGCCATGGAGAAGCCACGGCTCTGTTCCTCATAGTTACTTAAGCTTTCCAAGGACTTTTTCCCCGCATAATATCTAACCTCATCCAACTGGGAGAGGGTAGAACACAAGCAAGCATGCATGGGCTTTGCAGGTCAGCACACCTGCTTTCTAATCCTGCCCCCCTCACGTACTCCCAAGAATGGGAAACGTAAGTTCCGGAGCCTCTGTTTCTTCCCTTAGAAAAGGGAAGAGGGGCTCATTCCCGGTGACACAGGATCGCTGGGGGAAGCAAATGAAATAATTGTGCAGAACGTGCTTTAGACAGTGAGTGGAATGGAAAATGGAGGGGGAATATGATGCCACCACGTGAGTCTTACTCTGCAGAGTCCCCCACTGCCCACAATGTCAAAATCTTTGGAGGGAGTAGGAGGTCTCCCAGGGACCCGGCTGCCTGAGAATTCCCTCAAGCTCATGCAGAAGGTTTTCCAGTACAATGCAGAAGATCCAGTCTCCTAAAACAGCAACCCAAGTACCACAAAAGATGAAAAGTTTAAGCATAAAAATAGAGGGCTCCCACGAGGAATGGGAAGCGGCCAAAGGTCTCTTTCCAATTAAGCCCTGGAATGAGAATCAGATCCTTTGTCAAAGGCAGCAAAAGCCTGGAATGTCTACCACGGAGGCTATAGCCCAGATAAACTAACGGGGAAGCAGAAAGGACCGCCAAGAGTGTTGCCAGTTACAGCATGATTACGGGTGCTGGCTTTTTCATCTTCAATTTCTGGTCCTGACAGCCAGCACACACAACATCATTTAAGGCTGATCTCTTCTGAATGGTGATGAGTTACAGTCTTGATGGGATTTAAAGCTGTGGGCTTCCTACGGAGCAATAATGATTGAAGTGGAAAATAAAAAGAGTTATCAATTCCAAATGTCATTGAAGTAGACAGTGGATCCAAATTTCAATTTCCCACTGCAGCCGAGAACAGCCTGCCCAATGAGGACGGACTCATCACATGCCAGGGCGCGGCGGACTTGGGGGCCCCCATCCGCTCAGATCGTGGGCTCTGGGGCCAGGCTGCCTGCGCCTGAATTCCTGCTCTGTCACTCCTGGTGCCAAAACCCTGGTGCAAGAACCGTAACCGCCCGGTCCCTCGGTTTCTGCCTCTGCAAAATGGTACCTCCCTGGGAGGATTCTGTAAGCTCATTCATGTAAAGTGAGAGGACAGGGGTAGCACACACTGAGAGCCCAGTAATGGATATTCTCACTGTCGTTGCTACAAGCTGCTGGCAGAGAGAACAACCGTGCAGGCTGAGATGCTCAGAAACTGGACAGCCTACAAGTCGGCAAGCGGATGCCGTGAAGACCAGCATGGCGCGGAAATTTTCTAACATGGTTGTAGCCGCGTGGGGCCGGCGGGGTCATTAACCTGAGCCGCAGTCCTGGAGGGCGTCACTAACAGGGGGAGTGCAGGGAAGCTCAGGCAGAGAAAAGAAGAGCCCGACCAGTGGGGTAGTAGATGGGAAGGGCGAGAGGCAGGAGAGGGGAGAGAACTCGATCAGACGGAGGGTTGGTAGGAAGTCTGTACCCCCACGGGGTCTGATGTCATCGGTCCAGGCGGAGGCCCAGGCACAAGCATCTTCGAAGCCTCTCAGGTGTGGAGTACAGGACCCGTGCCATCCCGTGCAACTGGCCGTCGTTCTCGAAGTGTGGTCCTTCCCCCTGCCTCACTGGCATCTCTTAAGAACTCAGGACGTTATTCACACCACCCCCACCCCAAAATTCACTCACTTTTTAACACTCAACATTTATGTGGGTTTTTAAAAATTTCTTTGAGAGACAGAAAGGGCAGAGTGAGAGGGTCCCAAGCAGACCCTGCACCCAGTGTCAGCCCGATGTGGGGCTCGATCCCACGACCCTGAGATCATGACCGGAGCTGAAATCTATCAGACGCTCAACTGACTGAGCCACCTAGGCGTCCCTGACACTCAACATTTAAAAAGGAAATGTTGGGTGGCTGGGTGGCTCAGTGGGTTAAAGCCTCTGCCTTCAGCTCAGGTCATGATCTCAGGGTCCTGGGATCAAGCCCCGCATTGGGCTCTCTGCTCAGCGGGGAGCCTACTTCCCTCTCTCTCTCTCTGTCTGCCTCTCTGCCTACTTGTGATCACTGTCAAATAAATAAATGAAATCTTAAAAAAAAATAAAAAGGAAATGTGAGAAAATAAGTCAAGTGGAGAGAGTCAATTATATGGTTTCACTTATTTGTGGAGCATAAGAAATAACATGGAGGACATGGGGAGATAGAGAGGAGAAGGGAGTTGAGGGAAATCAGAGGGGGAGATGAACCATGAGAGACTATGGACTCTGAAAAACAACCTGAGGGTTTTGAAGGGGCGGGGGTTGGGAGGTTAGGCCAGCCTGGTGGTGGGTATTAAGGAGGGCACGGATTGCATGGAGCACTGGGTATGGTGCATAAACAATGAATTCTAGTATCCTGAAACGTAATTTAAAAAAATAAAAGGAAATGTGTCCCTCTGATAAATGGAAAACCAAGGAGCAAACCATGGTCTACTCCAAGGAGAAAGGAACCATAAAAATAGAGACGATGAGCATCTAACAGGTCTTTCCTTCCAGCCCACACACTTGCTTGAGGCCGGTTCTTCACCACAAAGGGGACACCAAAGCAGGCCGAGGGTTAAGGACATTCCGGACCCCCATGGAGTCCCTCTCTCCACCTTACAACCAATGAAGGAAAACTGGGAAGAGAGTATCTTTCTCACCATGTCATTTAACGCTTTCTAACGTCAGCTCAGGACCCGCAGGAAGACTTGGAGGAGTGGGGTCCTCGCCTGCCGGCTCCTGCCCTGCATGTGGGAAGCCTGGGCCAAGTCGGAGGCACAGAGGAAGGTGACCATTGCACCGCGGGTCTGAGAACAGACCTGGCACGGGTCCCACAGCTCACTGTCTCCCATCTTCTGCGAGGGCCACACTGTTCGGACCCAGAGACTTAAGACAGGAGAAACCTCGGCTGCTGTGTAAACTCTTGCGATGGAACTCCTTTGGGGAAAAGCCCT